CTAAGGACCCTAGTCCACCCCAAACCCGGAGCACCCGCCCTGCGAGGAACCGCCCCGCGAGGACCTGCCCCCGAGCACTCGCGCCAATAATACTCTCTCCGGGCGGCCGGAGGACCCTCCTCCAAGTCCCACCCCGCACGCGGAGGACCGATCTCCCGAGGGCCCGCCCCCAAAGCTACTAATCTGGTGTGGTGCGCGCTTCTGTACGCGCTATGCCAAGCTCGGGCGAAGAAGCATCGCCTCACCCCCACCCCCACCTCGGGTGCCTCATTTCCACCTCCGCACCCGGGCTTTCTCTCTCCAGCTCACCCCGCTTCGACTGGAATTCCTGCCCGGGAGGGGGGTGGCTTTGGGCTGAGTTTTGCCATCGTCTTGGATGATATGGGAACCACACTAGGCCATAGAGTATGAATATCACTCAACCCTTTAATACAGATTGCATTACCCAAAATTTGATTTTCATTTAATTTCACTACATGTCCTTTTACTGCAGGATACGATAATAGAAGCACAGAATTACAGTCCCTGCCCATAAGAGAGAAACAGGCTGGCCAGGGGCCAGACATACAGAGTTCCAAAGCAAGGTGCATGGGAAGTAAGCAAGCCAACAAAAATGCCAAGAGATTCCCATAGAGGCAGGGGAAACTATTCCAGACAGAAGGTTGAGGATGTCCGCTGGTCTGAAAGGTGGAAAGGAACTGGTATATTAGTTTATTATCTATGCAAAATTTAACAAATTCCAGGTTTCCAAAAGACACACATTGAGCCAGCTCAGAGAGAGAAAACTGCACAGAGGTGCCGACTTTCTCTCAAAGGACAATTTCCTAAGCTGAATGCCAACCCAGAGAAAAGTCACAGGTCACTGCTGGTTGCTGACAGTGGACATTATTGTTCTGTGTGGGTAGGAGAGGCTCAGAGGCATGCTCAGGCAGGACAAGGGGTTGGGGTGAGGGGGGAATTCTAGGGTGGGATGGCACCTACTAGCAAACTTAGGACTTGAAGAGTGGGAGAAAAGGCTAGAAGTTCCAGAATTCCAAGCCTGATGGGATGAACGCATGTCTGTCACACCTGTGGCGCAGTGTGGTCCGAGGCCCAGCAGCCCCTGCTCCAGCAAGCACTGGGGAGGCATTCCCCACCCAGATCCACTGAAGTGGGCTCTGCACTTGAACAAGATCTTGGGAGGTTCTTGGGTGGCAGCTACCTGCTACCCTGTCAATTCTTGATTGGCAAGATCAGCAGAAGAAAAGGCTGGGAAAGCTGGCAGTTCCCATGTGGAGCCTGAATTTTCAGCCACAACTTGGCTAGGGCTTCAAGCCTATGGGTAGACAAGAACAGCTGAGCCTTCGGCTGGAAAGCTTCTTTTTGGTCCAGCAGCACTGTTGTAAATCTCTCCACTGGTCCTGGCCTGACACACAGCCGTGGGTCAGAGAAGCCTGGGAGGCCCATGGGCGGGCTCTCTCTAGCTGGCAGGTGGGCTCCAAATGGTGCAAACTTGCCCGTCACGTGCTGATTGCAACTGTCAGTTATCTCTGAGCCAGCACCTCAGCAAGGCATTCAGAGATTTCAGTGAAATTAAATGTGGAGACTCAGCAAAGGGACTGGGAATTTGGGGAAGCCTTGTATTTCCACTATGGTCTGCAGGCATCTCATGGAGGACCTGAACCTAAGATGACCTAGATGACCTTGGACAATTCACTTAACTGACCTCAGTTTTCGTTTGTGAGGTGAATGCTGCAGGGCTTCTCTGGCCTGTTTCATGGGGATATCCTGGCAACCAAAAGACTCATCAGATGAGGCCCTGCTTCGAAATCTTTAAACTGCTCTGCCAGTACAACTTGCAGGAGGGGTGTTGTGCCTTCCCAGGGTGAGTGCCAGGAGTGGGCACCTTCCCCTTTCGATGAACTAACACGCCAGCCAGAGGCATTCCTTCCCTGCGGTTGGGGCTACAGAGGTACACACTCACATTTATACAGGGCTCACTGCTAGCTTCAGGGAAGGGGAGGGGTCGAATCCTCCTCAAATTACCCATCCAGAATTGGTGCCCGAGCCCCCAGGATCCAAAAGGAAACATGCTGTAGACTCAGGAAAATGTGTTCCCCCAAAGCCCTAGGCGTTCCTTTCAGCTGTCAGTAGCTTAAATGGAAGTAACCGTCGTTTTTAAATCTCTAACTTCAAGGTACATGGTGACTAAAGGCAATTTCATCAGAAAGAAAGGGGGATTTAATAAATAACAGAGATAAATTGTTTTTTAGATCCTGATAATAGAGAGAAAAAAGGTCAACCTCATGTGAGTTGCTGAATCAGCAGATCTTGTTGATGGAGAGGATATTGTGATGGAGAAGAGACCATGGAGGTGAGACCAGGACAGAGAAGAGACTGTGGTGGGAGGAAACCAGGAGACTGTGGAGGAGAGTGTGGCGGGGAGCAGGTGGTTGAGGAGAGGAGACTGTGATGAAAGGAGATGGTAACAGGGAGGAGACTATGGAAGTGAGGAGACCATGACAGAGAATGGACCATTGTGGGGAAGAAACTGTGACATGGAGACTGGTGGGAAGGAAACCGTGCGGAGAAGGGACAGTGACGGGGAGGAGACTGTGAAGGAGGCCGTGGGGGGGAAGAGAGGAGACCATGGAGACGGATGTGCATAGTACATTCCCAGGGAAATCTGGCCCAAAGATACTTAACTACTTTAGCAAGAAAGTTCAGCAGTATTATCTGTGTAGTGAACTTTTTACAAAATAATTTTGTTAATAATCTTAGAGTATGCACACAAATGGTGCTTTATTTTTAATGAGGAATGGGACATTTGCATAATCTCAAAGTACCTTCCCACCTAGCCATTAACTGCAAAGGGAAATAGTGTAATTTCACAGTGGATGTCTGGCAGACACCCTTTAATAAAGTGATTAAAGTGAATGCCAGTAATGGGACAAACCAAAATTGTTCACCACCTGACTGCATGCAGCAGTGTGTTAATAGTGAGAAAAGCTGTTGGGAAAATATAACATTACCAAATGTAGGTAGCATTTTTAAATAAATACATTTCAAATAAAAGAAAATTATCCATTCCAGCATTCTCTTTCTGATGGTCTCTCCTGCACATCATCTGTCCTTTTAGGCAGATGAACCTGCCTGTTGAGGAACATAGAGCATGTAAGGAAAGACAGTCTTTCAAGATTTTTATGCTAATCTCAGTAGTTTGAGTCATGCAGCCAAATGATCTGGATTGAGGCAGACTTTATATGACAAAGACTGTTCCGGTTATCCTTGAAAGTATACTGTTATTTGCATCTTCCTGTCGAATCTTTTTTATTATTATTTTTTGCAGTCACTTTCGAAACCAGTGGGATGGAGAGCACAGTATGGATGCCAACTAATCTATCCTAATGCAGATCACTGCAAATAAGCAGCTTCTAATTAACCACTCAGGAAGAGGCAAAGACCCATTCTCTTTTTCTAGTGCATGGAAAATAGAGTGTATGATTATACTTGGACCACTTCTTATGAAATAAGGAAGAACTCACCTCCTCCCCGCCATTTTCTAAGTGGGAAAACAGGCAAAGTGGGACAAGAACTTGGCATAGATCCTCAGATGTGATAGAATAAGGTTAAGCAGTTCATATTCAGAACTTTTTAAGTGTTGAGAAATTAGATTAGGTATATTGTTTAAACTTCAGATATTGTGGGTATTTTGATCCTGATCGGCTCTGACAAGTCAGGCCTAGGGACCCCAACCGTGCACGAATTTGTGCACCAGGCCTCTAGTAAAATGAATAAAAGTAACCAAATATTATCTTCCCTGAAAGATGCATAATTTCTCTAAAATGATCTCATGCATTTCCCATTGTTTTCAGAAGTCATCTTCCACGAAACAGCAGCAAACTGCATGAAGCTCCTGTCCTTTTTAGGACCAAAGACACTTTCCATGTAATGATAAGACCTTACCTCTAAATCTGCCTGAAAGCCCCTTCCAGCATTCTCAGGAAAACTGTCTTAAGAAAACTATCCAACCCAGTAAAGCCTTAGTATTATTCATTGCTATTCTTACTCAATTTTCACCCTGGCTGAGTAGCTAAGTTGGTTAGAGCATCATCATGATACACCAAGATTGCTGGTTTGCTCCCTGGTGAGGGCACATACAAGAATCAACCAATGAATGGATAAATAAGTGCATCAACAATCCACTTATTTAAATGTTTCTCTCTGTAAAATCAATAAATTAAAAAATGTTATTATTCAATATTGTCGAGGTTAATTTCCATATTGTAGATTGTAAACTGCAAGAAACTATGTTCTGTAAAGATATTCATGACAACTAATTTTGAATTTGTATTTGAAGGTATGACCACACTGAAGTATGGTAGCAACCATCTCAGGTAGAAACTATAGTTTAACTTTAACCCCGGTTTGGCTTCTGTACTTATTTGCTTTGTTTAACAATAGAAAAGTTATTTTGATTTTCTGAATTATATAAATTATCCCATTGTTTGTGGTCATACTGGTCTTAGAAAGCACATTTTCCTTTACCTGGGAAGGACAGCACAGTTATCCCAAGGTCAGAGGGCTCCAGTTAAGTGTCCCTGTTTACTCAGTGTTTCAGGAGACCCAAAACTGTAATTTAGATAACATGCTTAAGTCTGACCAGGTTCCTCATTCCAGACCCCGGGGCTCTAGAGAATGTGTTTCTGTCAATTCAGTGATCCAGAGACCCAAAACT